CCACAGGTGCAAAGTGAGTTAGCTCAGAAAGCTTCTCTGGCTGTTGCATTGTTATACGTGCTGTGGAGGTGATAGTGTTTTTGATTCCTTGTACTTTGTCATCGAAAAACTGTGCGAACTCATTACACCTAGATTTAGAGGAAAATTCTAGGGGCAACTTTACAGGGGGGTTCGTTAATCTACCAACTGTTGAAAACATAACACGAAAATTGTTACTGCAACCTCCAATAATGTCAGAAAAATACATTTCTCTTGTTCTACGTAGAACCCGGTTAAATTCACCCAACTCATCTTTAAAGATTTCATAATCGCCCTGGAAATTGGACTTTCGCCACTTCCGTTCGGCCCTCCGGCACTCTTGCTTCTGTGCCCTAACCGAGTCTGCCTTAGTCCATGGGGCCTTTTTCTTACTGGTAACTATTTTAACCGTCACAGGAGCAATGGCGTCCAGAACAGTCAGAACACTGGTGGTGACAGAGTTATACAATTCATCAACAGTAGAGCATGGAGTTTTCTCAAAATTTAGCATTCCCATGAACAGTTCACTTGTGTTTTCATGTATGTGTCTTCTTCTAACAGTTGTAAATTCAGCTGGTGGTTTGCTAGCAAAACACATGTCAAAGAATACACAGAAATGATCTGACAAAGCAACATCAACTACATTAACATTTGATACATTAACCCCCTTTGTAATTAGCAGGTCAAGAGTGTGCCCCCTGCTGTGGGTGGGGCCACTCACGTGCTGAATGAAACCAAAGGTCTCAAATACAGAAGCCAGCTCCTTTGCATTTCTGTCATCAACATTATCAACATGTACATTAAAATCACCTGTAATAACTAAACTATCAAAATCTGTGCACACGAATGAAAGTAGTTCAGTAAAATGGTCAATAAAATCGCAACATGACTGTGGTGGCCTGTACAGGACAATGAAAAGAGTAGAAGATTGCTTTTGTTCCATTTTAAAAGAAATATACTCAAACGATGAAAAATTTCCAAGGGGCATTCTATGGGAGACAAAGTGCTCTCTAAAAACTGCAGCTATGCCTCCCCCCCTTTTGTTTTCTCGTATTTCGGATTCGAATTTAAAATTGGGTGGTGTTGCTTCTATTAGAACTGCATTTCCTGTATTTTGGTCCAGCCATGTTTCAGCCATAAGCATAAAATCAAGATCATAAGAAGTGATAAAATTATTAATTAAAAATGATTTGTTACATAGAGATCTGACATTAAGCATAGCAAGTTTAAAAATAACGTCAGAGTCGATTAATGTGGTTGATTGATTTCTACAGGGAACAGAAATTAGATTTGCAGAGTTGGACCGTCTAACTGCTGTCCTGTTTTGATTTCGTTTTTTAGAATTTAAAAACATTTTGGAGCTGGTGCGAGGAACACACACAGTCTCAATTGGCCTAAAATGTGAAAACCCTTGTTGTTCTTTAGCTCCCAGAGTCAGAAGGGAGTCAGCACAGTTCAGTGTTTGGACTGGTAATGCACTGCCAGACGGACAGGGAGCAGTGTTTGCACCGTTGTACTCACCCGGTGCTGGTGAGCAGGAGGCGGGGGAGTGCGGTGGGGTCCGAGGGGGCTCAGATGTAAACAGTCACGCCCCCCTCGGGGAACGCTGAACAACGTAACGCATGTAGTCCATCAACAGGCTGCTACCGTATCTGTTTGGGTGTAATCCGTCTGGACGATAGGCTTCGTAACGTTTCCAGAAAAGGGCAAAGTTATTCACAAAGACAAAGTTAAAAGAGCTGCATGTAGCCTGAAGCCACACATGCAGCGCCACAACACGACTGTAGAGGCAGACACCTCTGTTTACAGTCGGGATTGGACCAGAAATAAAAACAGATAGTCCGGAGGATTGAAGGAGGTGGAACAGATCCATAAAATGTTTCTTCGTGACTTCTGACTGCTGAAGTTTCATGTCGTTAATTCCCACATGCACGACTACCTTGGAAACGGTATCAGGCAGGGACTGAAGCAGAGGAGGGAGACGTATGAGCAGGTCTGGGACAGTAGCTCCGGGAATACAGCGAGTGACCGCGTTAAAGAAGCGGACGTGTCTCACGATGGAATCTCCAATAATCAGAGTGGTCGGGGCGAAGAGTGGCCTCGGAGAAGGAGCTCGGTGGACGGAACCAGCGGGTTCACCCGAAGCAGGACCGGAGCCTGAGCGCCGCTGAACACATGGGAGAGGAGGAGCGGGGGTGCTGACTCTCAGCTACAGGCGACCCACGCTGTGTGCTCGGGGACGCTGGAGCGGTGAGAGGGGCTGGCTCTGGGCGCTGCTGCTGACCCGGTGGAGGTGAGCGGTGGTAATGATGGCTCGCTACCCCAGTCTGAGGCTGCTGCACTGGGGTCAACATGGCCGGTGGACCGCTCTTTCGCCTGAGGACTGCTTCCTTTAGGAGCGTTTTCCTCGCAGTGGACTTGGATCCTCGAGCAGTAGAGTTTGCTGCAGTGTCCAGGGATTCTGCTGAGGGGGCCGGGATGTCGGTGGAGAGGGCTGCATAGCGGTTTGCCAGACTCAGGACATGGGCCACGGCGCAGGATGGCTCCTCGGAATCCGCGGGCTCGTTATTCGGAAGCGGGCGCTTAGGTGTAGAACAGGAGGGTCCGGAGCTGACGGATCTCTCCCACACGACAGTGTCACAATATGCAGCGCTCAGTGACATCAGCCGTGAATGCTGCCCACCAGCGACTTCAAAAAGTTTGGACACTAGATAATATAATACATTACATTCTATTTATGTGTTAACCAAATATTTCATATAACATTTTGTTTTTTATTGTATCTGGTACTTAAAAATAAACAAGTATTAAATAATACATTATTTTTAATATATTAATATAAATAATCTCAAAATATAATTACTATCTAATAAAAAGATAACCACACAATAACTATAACTAACAATAAAAAAATTCCCCACCATTCCCATATCCCCACTCAATTTTCAAATAATATTAAAATAACAATCTATTAAAAATTCACACCAAAAAACTATATAACCCAATCCCTCACCTTTCTCCTTTAAATTATATTATATAAATCATACAACCTATACAAAAAACCAAAAACTCTCTCCATATACTAAATTAAACAATATATTCCCCACAATTATACAACCCCAACACTAACCCAAAAATACAAACAAAAAAAAAATATTTTCTATTTCATTTCTCTATTTTTTCTACCCCATTTCAATTTAATTAATTCCTCTCTTCTTTATTTTTTATATAACTATTTTCATTTATAGTAACCATATTTTTACTTTTTCTAAAATCAAATTTATTGCATATACTGTTTCTAGCTAATAAAGATAATATTTTATAATTAATTCGTCTAAGTTTCACACATACTAATAAATCCTCTGCATAAAAAACAATTTTTATTCAAAACAACATCTTTCTAATTTTCTATAGATGTACGAGTTAATAAGACAATTTACTTATCTGCATCCATTATTAAACCCCCAGTATCTTGGTAGCTGTTCTAGGATCATCACATTATTTTCTATTATTATACAATACATCTCCACACTACCAAATTCTATACTAAATATCTTATTTTTTATATATATTTCACTCAATACAAATATTATATATATAATTTTATATATATATTTTTATATATATTATTCTATTTAATTTATATATATATTTTTATATATTTACATAAAATAATTTAACTATTTCTCATTAAACCTCAATATAATAAGATATTCCTAATACGGAATTTCCTTGAATATTCATACTATTTTATTTATTTAATAAAATAATCTACATCCAACCATACAACCACAACACATAACAAAACCATTATCCCCAACCATTTAAATACCCCTCTTATCTTAACATTGGTAAACCTCTTAATTAATATATAAAAAAAATTAATCAATTTTTAATTTTAAATAAAAAACATAATAAAAAAAAAAAAAAACAAAAAACAAACACAAAAAATACAACAGATTTATGTAATATTCTCGCATAATAACAAATCAAGAATAACCTAGACATAATAATTCAAACAAATAAATAATACATTCCCTTACAAATCTTTTGAAATACAAAATACAAAACAATCTTACACTATAAACGAATACCATCATTTAAACACATATTACCAAACCTCCTTAATCATAATGAAAATATCAGAAACTTAAATCAAAAAAAAAGATAACTATAACTCTTAAATTTCTCGAACACATCCATAATAAAACATAACCTCCCTACCAAACATCTCCAAAATACAACCCCCTAACTCTCAACCTAACTATCCATCTATACCACCCCCTTTCTCTCCAATCAACCCATAATCACACCAAAAAAATATTTTTTTAACACCAAAACAAACACCAATCATAATAAATAATTCCCCCTTTATTTACTACCTAATAATCATAATCCCTCAAATAAATTTATCTTCATCATTTCATATATCTTTAATAAAAAAATACAAATATAATAAATATCACCACATATCTCTAACCCACACCATTCATAATCACTAAACAATAAATAAAACCACTAACAAAAATATTCAACCTATATTAATAACCTCTAACCTAATAACCCCCATACAA